AGGGAGACTTCAGATAACATTGCACTCTCTGCAAACATTAAATTCCCTGCTCTCGTCATTTAAAAATAACCGTTCTGAATCATTATTTGCTACTCCTAATATCTCTCTGGCTATGCAACATCACGCCTGAAACCTTAAACAATTCAGAGGGAAAAGAAAGTGTTTGAAATGGAATCTTGTAAGACTTTGTACATATTTGATATTATCAGGTTCCATGATGCCACTGTGAAATATTTTACCACAGTTTCCTCTACTGGAGTTTGGTGTTAGTGAAGTACTCCTTTTAAGTGAAGCACCACGACACTATTAACACTGCCTGTAGTTAACTCCACTGATCTCTCTGGTCAGAATTTAGTGTCATCTCATTATCTTTGTGTCATTTTTTACACACTGCATTTGCTCATTCTGTAACTTTGATGTACAGTGTGTGTGTGTGTGTGTGTGTTACAATTCAACAAATGACAAATATAATCCTCATATCTAAATTAGGATTTAGATTTAAAACAAATAATCTCTCACGTATACAAGAGCCAAATTTTGAACACCATCAAACCATGATAATTGTTTTCTTAGTGAGAAGATTCCTCTCTTCACAGAAGACGTTTTTTAAAAGAATGCATCTCAGCATATATACTTTCACTCTAGGTTTACAGAGTCAGTGATGCTTTAATCTGTCGGCTCATTTCATCAGTTTGCAAAGATAAATTTAATCAGTGGGTCTGAATGAATATGACTTGCCTTTTGATCACAGTAACAGAATTACGCTGCTTGCCTGAGAAAAGATTTTTAAAAAAAAGGGTAATTGGAAAAGGGAATAAAAAGGTCAAGAAACAAATACGAGTCCAAGCAGCTACGCAGATGTTGAAATTAATAAGGCAAACAATGTGTGGCGGCTCCATTAAACTGAGAGCTTCCTGCATGAAAGCGTTATTGAAGCAAGATGAAGAAACCAGAGATTATTGTAGATAGATAGACGGTAGGAGTACACAAGTTGGAAGTGAGAGAACAAGAAGTTAGGTATAAATGAACAGAAATGATGTGAATTGTATAACAATAAAGATATAAAACAGATCACAAAGAAATGTCTTAGTCACTGAAGGAGCTGGGCTTCGCATGTGTGCAGCAAGAGACAGCAAAATATATTCACAATATTACAAATATTAGTACTATTGTAGTGTGAAGATGTTTTTACTGCCTGTCTTTCATTTGTTCTGCATTGCACGCTGACAATACTAATCATTTTAATGTTACAGCTTTGAGCACAATATTTCTTATCAGTTCTGCCTAGCTGTGCTGATTAATCGCTCAGTTACGAGTGAAATGTTGCTGCAAACTATAGATAAAAAGTTCTTAAAAGTATAGAAGACATAATATGAGTAGATCGCTTGCATTCACAGTGTTGGAGTTCTTTGCTAGACAGAAAATCTGTGAGTAGACGTCTTGTGTTCTGTATTGATTTGATGCAGGTAAAAATACCACGCAGGAAACATCCATTTAAAGAGGAAGCAATCCACAGAAAAGGGCACACTTTGAATGTACAACCTCCACTGAATAAGCTTTAATAAAAAGTACAACTAGACTAAACTGATTGTTTTCTAACCAGCTTTTAATTGCCAAGTAGCTTCACTCACCTGAGTTAAGAGGCAATTACCTCCCCCCTGTGTTGGCACTTTGATAGCAGAATCATTACTGGACATTTCAGCCCTGCGACTCACAGCCCTGCCACAACTGTGAGAACTCATTTGAGAAACATAACCTGGCAATGGCAGGACAAAGAAAATCAATGGAAGCAGCTTAATATGGTAGAACCATGTTGACACTGAGCCAAGCTTGACGGAGTAGTAGAGGGCCAAGCAGTGCAATGCCAATAGACTGTTTTACAAGAACATTTTTGTCTGAGTTATTATAATCCAAAGTTACAGTATGTTCTTACTCGTAAAAATATTTCCAAATATGTTAAAAAAATTGTGGGAGAGTACTGGTTAGCCGAGTCAGTAATGGCTAGAATATGTAATGTTTTTTCTATTGCAACCTGTTACTATAGAGCTGTTTGGACATGGTGGGCAATACTTCTTCAGATTGCAATTAGCCCACAATCCAAGGGGTCAAACCACCATAATCATATTTGGAAACTTGAATTGTAATTAGAACTCAATTTTCATCAACTTGTGATCTGATCGTTGTTGCATTACCACATAATACTGACGCTTAAAAAGTCCTGATTACACTTGATAACAGTAAGTTACAAGTGAGGGAAGATGGAGCACATCACAGCAGAGTGTCTCTAAAGGTGTAATCATACAATTATTCTGGCATCATAATGAGCCGCATGATCAGCACCATTTCTAATACTGTGAAAACTAAAAATAAACACAAAAAGTGCTGCTCATTAAGACTTTCAAATTTCATAAGCAAATGCTCTTACCTTTTCTATTTTTTTTATTTTTTTTTACAGTTTATCATTTGTATTTACACACCTATACACTGCATTTACAGAAGAGGACACTGTTGGTATGTTTTTTATATTTATCCATTTCTGGCCTTAGTTCTGCCCTTGTTTTACACACAGAACCTAACTAGTAATTTGACATTTTGGAAAAGTCTGCACGGTATATATGAAGCTACCACAAACAGTTTTAGCTTGGCAACCAGTGGATACTCCAGGAAGTAACTGGTCCAAGCCAAGAAATAGTCCAGCTCATACCCCCCTTGAAATTGAGAAGTCGTTTTGACACTTTGGATTTTGCATGTACCATTTAAAGAAACGAGATAATAGGCCTATGCTACATGTTAATTAGTGATCTTTAGAGGTGATGGTTGGGTGGATTTTGTTACTTTTGGACAGGGCCAGTCTTTATGTTAAAGTAAAATAAGATCATTGACTGCTAGCTCAAGCTACATATTGAACAAACAAACATGAGTGTGTTGTCAATCAATAAGGACTCACCTTTAGCTACTAAGCCTGCTAAAGCCAGAATACATCTGAGCTCAGTTCTTTTTTACGAGAGTTAACTCTTAGTAATTTAGTTGGGATGTAGCAGAGAAACTGCTCAGTGCACAATTTATTCAACGACTCCTCAGACTTTACATACATTATTTTTCCTCAAGTCACAAACCACTTGGCAAGTAAACCAGTCTTATAACTTTTTTGCCATTTTGTCCTTTGTATGACAAGCATAGAATTAATGGCAACTGTAATTTTTTAACGGCAGAAATAGGCAGTCAAAAGCAAAAGAATCACAACGCTAAACAAACAAAGACTTAAAACAACAAGTGATGAGACATTTAATGAAAACAAAGCAACCGTGTTATTTTCACAGATATGTTTTTTATTTGTCAAACTGAAAGAGCTTTTGTTTGAAGCAACATCTTTTTTTGACTGTACACAATTTCTCATCTCTGCAGGCTTGAACCTAACCAGCATTATGATAGATACATTTTCTAGATAGTGACACTCAGACTGAGAAAAGAAATAATACGTGAGCTGCGGACACAGAAATACAAAGACAGGATGAGCTTCCACCTGGCTCCCCTTTTGAAGAGTGAGATGAAGTTTTACAATGCACAATACAATCAAAGGTACAAAGTAAAGCCGATTAGATCTTTATGATATTCAAGACCATAATGTGCCTGTGGACATCTTTGTTATACTGTACTGTTCAAACTCATACATCCTCAAAGCTTTGCAGCAGGCCTGCTGACAGGAAGCTGACTACAAAGACCAATCAGGGCAGATGCTGGCCAAAATATAGTTATTTGGCAATACAGAATTGAAAAGTGCACAAATAATCTGTTTATGCTTATCCTGTGTCCATGAACCTAAGGAATGACAGTCACTGATTCACACCAATAACAGTTTTCACATATTGGTAATCTACAGCAAAGTCTTTCAGTGTAACTTACGTTGAAGTACAGAGTTTGGCAACATAGCACAACTACATTTTTCCAAGATAGCCTTTTGTAATTTGCCAAACCAGAATACAATAGGCTATACTAATTTCCAAATATCCAAGTAACAATCAAAATATGTTGGTTTTGCTTTTATGGTTACTTGTAAACTACAACAACATCCATGACGATGGTATGCCCTGAAACACAACAATGTAAAGTAAGCGCCACAATATTTGAACGGTGACACATTTTCTTGCTGTGCTTTCAGCATTAAGTCAAACAAGTATTAATTTAAATGTATTTTTCATTCATTGAATATAAAGTGATGAAAATAAAAGTGGCACTTTTTGTATTTCCAGTCTAGTCGGGCAACCAGAATTATTTGGAGAGGTTGGTGCATTAAATTTAACAAGGTTTTCTCTACTTTCTCTTTCAGGCTGGGCTGCAATCTCAGAAAGAAAATGCATCATATTACCACGATATTAAATGATTGGACAGTTAAGTGACTGAAAGCTGGTAAGTCTGAAGTGAAACACGGAGCATAAAAGTAGCTCCTTATAAGCTCTTATTCTAGCGCTCAAGAGTTTTGGGAATAGTGGGAACCCATCCAGGACTATGTTTAAGCCGTGTAAGATGGGGCTTTAAGGTTCGACATTGCAGCAAAAACCTCAGGTACTTGTTTACTTCTATGTATTTAACTAGCCAAGCATCACAGTTCAGCTATAAATATGTTTGCATGCAGATAGCTGCTGTCATGTTATGTGAAAATACCCACAAGCTCTTTCACACTTCATTACTATATCATGTCTCATCCAGCGTGATGATAAAGATTAGATCTCCAGAAATAAACAGTCTGTCCATATTAGTTAAGAGTTCAGTGGTGTTATCATTGTAGGTTTTGAGATAGTGAAACATATTAATATACTATCAATCTTGGACATTTGCTCTGTGTTGAAAAAGACATTAATTATCATTTATCATATCAAAGGTATTAAAGAAAATACGAGACTGCTTTCAATATTCGGATTATGCATATATGGACATGATTTAAATAGCTGCGTTCACTCATTTTACATTTTCTTTCAATAATGATACAGATTTTTTGTGGCCAAAAATGATTCATTTGTGGGTTATTATTATGAATGGTATCTATCCTGAGCTTTGTAATTTATACAACTTAGATCTCCAAGACAACACAGACAATAAACACAGAATTTATGCGTCTGACAGCTGAGACAAATAAATCAAAATAAATACAAAATAGAACAAGCACAAACAATAGTTCCAAATATCTTAGAAAAAGTGTAGTGATAATCAAGGACAAATAAAAAGTGGAACTCCTTAAGAGAGCTTTGAGACAATTCAGCTGGAGACAGCCTTCAAGCCTCAGCGTCAGGGCTGCAGTGCGTTTAACTGCAGTGCTTGTTTATTGTCTCACATATCAGTTATCGTCAGTAAACTTTTGCAGTGTGTTGTAATGTTTCAGAACTATTTAAAAATGCACATAAAAATAGGTCCCTAAATCAAAGCCATTGCTCTCAGGGCTGGAGGTTTTAAATGATTTGTCAGAATATACATTTATAATTCACGCACCATGCAATTTCTTAGTCTTTTACATATAATACAAGAGCATTAATAGTGTTTTGATTGATGTCGTAATGCCAGTGTCCATTAGGGTAAAAGCATGGCTTGAGTAAGTGTCGTAATTAAAGTCAAAATATGTTTGAGAGAGTGATAATAATGTGTGAGCTCTACATGGTATTTTAGACAGTCTAGTTATGGTATGAAGTTGGTTAATTATGTCCAATGAAGCACGGCAGACAGATTTCACATCTTTGTTAAAAAGTGACACTGTACAATAGCTTCCATGGCAACAAGTTAAAACCACAGGGGGAACCCCTCTCCGACTCCACCCCGCCCCTCCCACGTATATTACAGAAGTTAATTCCAAACAGGATGGTAAATCTTGAGAAGAATAAAAAGACAGAAAGATCACGCTTTAAGGAGGAAACTGAAAGACAAAAGTGATCAAGGGCAGGTTTTAAATCATTGTACAAAAAAGAACAAACAGCAACCCACCACAACCAAACACGTATTCTTGAAAAATCCATTTGAAATTGATTTCTTTTTACAGGTTGCACAGTTCATTTTTGAAATACCGGGTGAGATACTCCAGTATGCCAAGGGACAAGGGGGAATGGCAATAAAGATGGAAGAAAAGGACTTCACTCTTCCTCTGTGCATCCGAGTACTTCTGCACGCAGAGTGATCCTGCCGTACCATGACCAGGGAAGGATCCGGATGAGTCGAGCGTAGATGGGTGGATCTATCACATTCTTTCGGTGTGTGTCGTTGTCAAAGTTCCCTTGGAATACCTTTAAAGACAGCAGCATGGAGGAATTATTCATTTTGAAACTATAGACACATTTTGGTGTGCTTGACACCAAGAAATACATTGTGAAAACTGAAAAATATCTTCAGTGAATTACCACAGAAACCAAATCTAACGCACTGTTACTGAGAGGCAGGTGCAGAACATTCGTGGTGCATTTCTGGCCTGGTTTTTCCAGACAATTGCCTTCAAGGTCTCATGCATGAACAGGTTCTGAATGAAGTTGAGCCAATCAGAGCTTCAATCCAAACACTGACAATAACAACACTTTCTCTGAATTCAGTCCTATTCGTGGTTATTTTCTTTCACCCACCACACATGTGAGCACATCAACAGTTTCCCCCGAGGGGAAAATTGTGTGCGCCACAGCTGGAAGTCCCACCTCCACAATTAGTGACAGACATCTACTGTTGTTTCTCCTGCTTACTAAGTGGTGTCATTAACATGCACCTTATGCTTGTTGGTCTATTTTCCTTCATGTTTTTTTTTTAAACCTGGCGTTTGATAAAAGGATTTGGTTGTTGCCAGAAATGTTGCTATAAAGGGAAAGTCGTGTTTCTCCAGTATTGGCTCTTGACAACTCATAACATATTGTGCTACAGACTGATATGGATCAACGCACCGCTCTGATTATGTAGCCACTGGCATATCCTTCACTGAAGTGCTAAAAAAAACAAACAGTGGTATCTAATTTAGGGTCAACATTCAAGTCGTTAACAGAGAGATTTCAGTGTCTGCGCCACTCTTATACCAATTTGATGACATTTAAAAGCCTTTAGATTCGCCTTAAGAAAACAGTTCAAGGGGTAACTGGATGCAAGATACAAATAAGCTAATTGTCTTACTGGGACGTGCGCTCAATTTTTGATTATAAGAAGCTTTGTGTTGTTGTTTGCTTAATAGACAGTGAAATTAAGTATATTAGAAAGAAATGCACCTACAGGGACTGCTTCGTTGAAGGATATGATCATTTCAATTAAACAGACGTGATTATGCCTGCGTAATTGGGATGTAATGGGACTCACTTTGGAGTGGAAAGAAAAATCAGCGGGCCACATCCAAGCAGGTGCTGGACACAGAGGATGAGGTAAGCTTCAACTAATTATCTTTCAAATAATCATACAGTAGAAGGTTTGCATTTAAAGTGTTTAAAAGGAGGTTTCACTCCAACAAGTGCTAAAAACAATGGACAAGCACCAAAAACTCACATGAAGGATTTGAGGGAAATTGTTCAGAGTTTGTAGAATATTCATACGCCATATTTCCTAAAATTAAAGATCACCTCTGTGCTTGAAGGAGAATGGTACAAGCATTTAGTTTTTGCCATATTTGAACTAAAAAGAGATTTTGGGGGAAGTGCTACTTTAAATACACTACCAACTGGAAAAATTCAATTGGATAAACCTCCTAAGTAATTACAAATAGAAATTGAGAAGAGGAATCGGTAAGACAATAAGGATACAGTATTGCTCAGATTCTATAGAAGCCGTAGCATGAAGCTTTACAGACACTGTAATAGATTATTTTATGGACCATTTATTTATCCAGTGGCAGCTGGACTTATACCTGGCCTGATCAATATGCAATAATGTGACGAGATATCAAACCTCTGCTTCCTCTTCCTAGCACGTGTTTCCATTAATACAACCACTTTCGCTTAATTCTTTATTCTGTCATGTTCTGTGCTTTTGTGAGTTACTCTTACTGTAGACCTTAAGCTTTAATCATGTGACAGGTGTACGATTTCATTATTTTCCTTATTTCACATGTCTAACACAAACAGCTGCAGGCCACCTTTTCGTCCTACATTCTTTGTCATCATTTTCCTCCTGCAGTGAAACCCATTCTCTCTCCTGCTTTTCATCTATATTAATAGATGAAATTATTTTATTCAGACAAGGTTTGCATCTGCAGACAAGCAAACAACATTACATCACATGGCATTCTGCCCTCTCTGTCATTTCTCCCTCTTTCACTATATGTCCTCTGCTCCTTTCTGTGAACTTAAAATCCACATTAGAGAACTTAAAATGCTTCATTTTCAACACCGTTTCTGCTTTTCAAATTACATTCTCCATGTTGCAGATTTGATGAAACAGGCTCCAGATGTATTGATGTAATGATAAAAACTCAAACCCTACAATAATAAAAAGAAACCACAACAAGCAATAAGTATACTGTGTCTTAGAAAAAACACATAAAACAACAACCTTTATAGACATGAATCTGTCTGAATGGGGCCATGTTGCACCTTCTATTGAGCTGGCATACAAGCTGACAGAAGCATGGGCGTTTTAATAGAGCTGGATATTCTGTTACAGGGTCTGCAAGGCTACCAGTTTCTGTTGTTCTTTTCACTTTTCATTGTATTTCAGAACTGCAACATTTGACACCGGGAAGCGAGAAATGTGTCATTTCCAAGAGTGTTGCCACAACTGTAATGTGACAACCAGGGCACATGACAGCACAATATAAAAGGAAGGACAGGAAGACCATGAGAGCAGCAGCTGATTGAAATATGACAAGAATCTCTCCTAGACTGTCTGGGGACCTGCACAGTGACCGAGGCAGTGCCTCTAGAATAAACTGTCTGGAACAGGATGTGTGAAGAATCACAACAATAAGACAAATGCTGTTTTGGAAGACAAAAACAGAAAAGTGATGAGCAGATTAAGGCATCCTCAACATATTGGTAAATATAAATAGGTAAGAAAGTCAGCACAAAACACTGTATGTCATGTTGATGCACTACACTGAACATAGACAATTACACATATTTCAACCAGAGCCAAGCTCTATAAAAGCCACATTTTAAACAGTGGTTGCTGCCATATTAGCAATGGTTGCAAGCTCCACAAGTATGCCATATATGTTTATAATCAAGAATAATTCAAAACTTGTAAATTCTATGTTTATTTATTGGTAAATGGATAAACCCCTTGCCTTGATGGATCCCCCTCTCCTGATCAGATTCGTGGGTGTGGGGTGTGTTGCAGGAACTTCAGAGTTTGTATATTGTGACCATCTAGTGATATATATTATACTCAAATTCATTGTCAAAGTTACAAAGCCAAAGCTGCTTCTGAACTCTTTCTGTGGATCAAATGTTACAACACTGCTATTTGTTGTAACTGAAAATGTGCTAAAAGTATATGTATTAGCAAGCAATCAGTTATGATAACTGAATTATTGATAGCTAGTTTTAGAAAAGCACTAAAGCACTCCTGCTTTTGTTTTGTCCTGTAACACTTTAGTAAATAGACATCCACATGCACACTGGTTGAGTTGGATCAAAAACAAAGGCTAACTCCCAACCTTTGGAAAATTAAGTACTATGGCAATGCTGCTGGGTTTCATTTTAATTCCATAGTTTAAGTTGGATTCTGTTGGCAAAGTTATACAGCACCGCTAGTCCAAAACAACAACAAAAATCCAAGCCAGCAGACTTAAAAATACACACAACATAGGGACTTTCTCATCTTTTAGTCAAATATGTGGAAGTGGTTGAGAGTAAGTCTCACTTCATCGCCCCCAAGCATAATCATTTTATCCAGAGACACAGGTCTACAGGACATTTCTGTGTGTGTCTTCACCCTGACCCAGTGGCCAAAACTCTGCTCCCACCTATTGATTTTCTGGGCTGCTAGAGTCATGGGTAGACATCACTAAGGCAGGCCTCGAGTGCCCCCCATGCTGCATTATTTAAACATGCTGCACAGGTCAAGGGAGCAGGACACTCAAATCTCTTTGAAATGCTCTCTGTCCTCATGATAGCGTAGGCGGCCAAAATGATACCAAGGAAACTCGGCCACGTCTTCATTGAAAGGTCGAGAGGAGCCGGTTACTGAACTGTACCTGCAATGCATAACTACTTATTTAAAGAGGATGGAGATATGTATTCTAGTTATGCGTTTTTCTAATCCTGAGGTACATGATACGTCGCAGCCAACATTTGACATGACTGCAAAAAAAGACTGAATATAAGTGGTGGCTCTTAACATGATTGTATTCACAGCTATCTAACATGCGTTACCCTCTGACCTGGAGGGAACTGAGGGCTCTAATGGCTAATTAACCCTGTGTCACCTGAGTGAAACTCTATCAAGCATAAATCAATTACTTTTGTGCTTGACTGCCCCCATGAACAGTGTAAATATTGACATCCAGGAAAGAACAGTGATGTAGGACTGGTCAGTGTAGTGACCTCGGTGTGTGCATGTGGGAATGCAGCCGAGCCAATATGTGTAATTATGAAGTGTATTACAGTTTAATTATGTTCAAACAATGGACTATGTTGTTACTTGTCTCAGTCACAAGTGCGGTACACGGGTATTTGGGATTTATGTGTGAAGAAAAGGCAAACAAGGTTCTCTATGGATTTTGTAGAGGGATACTGTTGTGTGTGTGCTTTCACTGTGTGACAACATCTGTATTCTGACAGCGCCTCCTCTCTCAATCTAGATCTAACTGCCTGCAGCCTCTGCCACACAGGAGCTGGAGGGGGGAGCTGAGAAGAATACTTACAAGCCTCTACCACTGTGCCCGAACCAGACACCCAGACATACACACACACACACGCTCACACGTTCTCAGTATATTCCTGTCAAGTCAAGCATTGTGGTGTGGCAGGAGGAGCCTTGGGAGTCCAACAGCCAAATGTGTCCTCTAGCATTAATAGCTGCTTCAGCTGTCTGAAGGGGGGAAACACCTTGAAGAATCATACATCTGAGCAGCCCCTTGGCTCCGTCTAGGGACAAACTGATTGACATTCTCAGAAGCCTTGCTTAACACGCCTGCCCTCTAATACAGAGCACACTCACTCAGATTGACTGCCTATCCCTGGTTTTGCTCTGACGTATAAAGCAAAAAAAACACGGATGCAATAGATGGTTATAGAAATGGCTTGCATCTTATTTAATGATATTTTAAGCTTGACGAAAGTGCCGCTCCCCACTGAGTTATCTCTGAAAATGAGATTTAGAAATAAAACATATAAACATAACAGGGTCCCGAGAAGCCACCAGGACTTTTCTTCTCCTTCCCTTTGTTATCTCAGCTGATGCTTGCCGGGCCTTCGAAAGTCATCCAGTACTCAGTATTGAGATTGCTCGAGTGAAAATCATGCTGAGCATGCAGTGGCCCGTATCCAAAGATAATCGTGGGTGTTGAAATTATAAACTCCTCAAGCAAGGAATGTGAACTGCAGAGATGGGAAAATATCTGCTGACATTGGCTGCTGCACTGGCTCCTAAACAAGGATACGGGCATGAATTGACATGAGCCTATTGAGGGGTGTTATGTGACTTAACAAGGTGCTGTCATATTTCAGCTCTAGGTCGACCACATTGAGCCAAACGAAATAAAAAGCCTTTCTTTAAAAAAAGTCTAATTTTGAAATGGCAGTTGAAGTTACCCACCAACCTTTACAAACTGCTCAGAATCAGTATTTATGAGAAAGCCCAACATCATAGCTAATGCTTCTCTGTGCGCAGACTGCAAGGCATGGACTGCAGGTGAACCATGACATCAAGTATGACGGCAAATTAAAGAGTAAAGGATTTCAAGCCATTTGAAGACTATCCACAAATGCTTTCATATCATGTTATTATTTTTAAATGTGTGAAATAAATGTGCATGCCTAAATGAATGAGTGCAAATATTTATTGAAGATTGAATATTGCGCAATCAAAATCAATTGATCTTCAATTATGAATCAAATACAAAATATGGGTCTCAGGGCACTCAGATTTGATTAATCCGGTGCAAACTTTTACACTTGTTCACAAAATAAAATTCACAACTACAACTCTTTTAATACTGTTCATGATCTCGTAATACCGTGAATTATTTTTAAAGCACCTCTACAGTATTTGCTTTGTGCCAAACACATGTATTAATTAGATCTCTTGATTTACCATAGTCAACACTTGAGCAGGCCATGAATAAGCAGAAGAGGTTTGGCTTATCGTTCAATAACAAAACAGGGAAAAGTAAACACTGCCTCTCTTGCCACCAGTATCTGAAAGACAAGGGGCTTCAGCTTTAGCTGTAACACTGCCTGCAGCCCTCCTGATATCAGCAGAGAGGCTGCTGCAGCCCTGCTCTGTCTCTGTAGTCGTGGGCGATTGGAATGGACATGTACTCTGTTGAAGGGCCGTAAACAACATTTTCAGCACAGTACTGGCCGGGCCAGGTTGACAGCACAGTCTTATCTGATCCCAAAGCAGAGAGAGGCAGTAGGACAGACCAGGCAGGTTCAGTTTGAGCCACAGATAAGAAAATGCTGAAGGGAAGTGGAAAGGAGAAACAGACAGGTCCTGAAAAGGAAATGTTCACGCGTAATACTAAACACACCTTTTGCAGCTCTGTGTTTTCCTCAGCCATTATTTCTGTTAGTTCTCTCTACCCAGAATGCCCCTTTTCCTCATGATGTGATATATAATTCAAAACCTTCAGTACTCAGTTCCCACGGGCAGGCATTTATGATTCTACAGTATTTTTCAATATGATTACTATGTGCACATGACAACAAATATGTGTTTAATCTGATTAACCGATTTCTCAGTTAACGTTGGTAGAAGTGACCTAATAATACTGTGTGTTTTTTGTTTGATGGTGGTCATTATGGGCTGTGAAAGCTTCTTACCTTGTCCTTCCCCTGTTTCTCATCTTGATATATTTTCCACCGCTCTCCATCGTTACTGTATGCCAGTTTGTATGAGCCAACAAACTGGACATGGCCAAAGTCTTTAGCTCCCTGGGTGATTATACCTGTGACCTTGGTAGCCACACGCAAGTCCACCTGAGAGAGGAAAGAAACACAGAGAGAGAGATCGTAGAATGGTAACTTTCTCAAGAAACTTAGCATGTAAAAGAAGTGTCAGAGATGCACAATCTAGTCAGCATCTTTTTTTCCGTTTGATGTCATCAGAGGATTTACTGTATGTAGACACTGGGTGCAAAATGTCAGTTTCAATTATTCACAGAATATTGAACAACAAGGCTAAGTCCACAACCTCGCCTCAGCAAAACAGAAATCACACGCCGCAGCAGCTTCGGAGAGCCAGGCCGCTCCATTTGGGTTAATTTTTAATAGGTTCTCATTTGTTGCAAACAATCTCCAATGCATGGATGCTAGGCAGTAAACACACAAACTGTTACTTATATGGAAATTGTTCGATTCAATTATGCTTTATTATTTGTTAATGTACACGACACTGTTGGGCTGAGATTCAAAACATGGTTAAGATGAACCCAAAAAGAACGACAGAAAGAATAAGTAGTAGTATGGCTCCATCGCATTTACCTGGCCCACTTTGCTTCAGCAAAATATACTGCAATAATGTCAAACACAGGTCAAGTCCACCATGTTAATTATGTCAAATGAATAATGTATTTTAACTTTGAGAGGAAGGTGTGTAGAAGTGCAGATATACAGCTCGTATTGGGATGGAACATAAAGAAGTATAAACATGTCACTCCCATTGAGCTTTCATCGGCATAAAGCAGCAGGTGTTCTGTTACAAGTTCTATTCCACATAATGGAAACAGTGCAGAAATACTTTTATATCCATCAAACACATTATGCCAATGGTTGGTGTTGTTTTGTACACAACAAAAAACTAAACTACTTCTAAATATCAAAAATAATGTGACAAATTAAGGGTGTACAATTCCCATAACCTCCCATGTGATTCACTTTCTTTAAAAGAGCATGCTGTTTTTTTATGAATATAAAAAGATGTGAATAATTGATAGCGCTGCCTTCTGCATTTTCATCCCTTAAATGCTAATAGCCTAAATGTCACTGTAATACTGTCTCACGCATCGCATACATCTAAGCAGCACTGATTCACAGTCAACACAGGATGAAAAACAGTGTGCCACTTGGCATTTTGCTGTCACATGGGAAGATAGTGGCAAAATTTAGAAGCAGAGAGAGCGCAAGAGAGAGAAACATATACCGTACGGATGCAGATTTATTTCTTCTGCTGAATATACACATACAAGCAGGCAGCCATACATCACAATAATTGGCCTGGTAATAGGTCAACATATACTGTGTCACACGGCTCTGACAAAACAAAAAAGAATCTGTGTAGATTAAACAAATAAGCAAAGAAACCGAATGCATGATTTATGACTGTTTCCTTCTACCTCCCGGTCCCAGACCCATTGCAGAACACCACTATGCATGTCATCGCTGCGCCAAACCGCACTACACCGCACTACACCACACCACATTGCACCTTTATTGCCTGCAATGTTACGGTTTCTCTTTTCTCCCAGCTACTTTAAGATTGAGGACTGCTCCCTGGGTATTAGATGGGTGTTTTTAAGTGCAGACCCGCTGCTCTGTACATAATTCGACATAGACCTGGGTCTTGACACACATGTAGACAAAGTCATGCCTTAGCAAGTACAAGGCAAACTCTTGGCTTTCTAAAAAGGCATCCAAGTGGATAAACTCCCAGTTCTCCATTTGTGAGATGTTAAGCTAATGAAAGTAGGACAGCAGGCATTCAAGTTTGCTTGCAGACATAATTTTACTCTTAACAATGCTGTGGTTACAGGTATGCAATTATGCAGATGCTGCACAGTACATATGCATGCTTCATTTGTTGTGAATACAATATTCATGAAGTTTCTCCTTTAAATGGTAGCAGCCTCTGCATCTGTTTTTTTGTTTTTTTTTGTAAAGTAATGCTCATTTCTGCCTCTGAATGAGGCTGCGGCAGCAGATTGGAATATTTTCCTGAGATGTATACCAATACTTTTAAACAGCAGTTCTGTTATAACAACAATAATGTCACAGAAACCCACTGGATAAAGCGGGGCAGAAAAAAAAACAGTGGCAGGGGATGCCTGGTTGATTTAGAGGGGCATGACATCTTGCATTGTGAGGCTTTGATTATGCTCCAGCTGCAGAATGTTGATGTAATCTCATTCTACTCAAGCAGTCAAGTCTGCCACCAAAACAAAGGCAGGCTTGAAGGGGAACCTTTAATTGCCGTCACAGGTAGCGGTCAAACAAATACAAACGCCCCTAGCGACGGCAGCTCTCAACACTTTGATGGCCCAAACTGAATTAGGGGGCGAGATAAGCTTGTTAAAGCAAGGCCTCTCCTGCAGCCCCCATCTTCTGTTTTTTTCTTCTATCACACTCTCAACCCCATTCCCTCCTCCACAAGCTGTTAACCCAGACAAACTAGGACTGTGTGAAGTCTTTGTAGCAATCGCTGAACTCCCATGGCATACATGTTTCAGAGAAATAAACCATGAGAATCAATTTTAGGATTTAGCTTGCTGTGTCTGAGATTAAAAACAAGATTCATGTAGCTCAAACCTAAGCCTCCAGTTTTCCCAACGATACAGCTACACATCAAAAAGTGAGAGAGCGTCATTAACATTAACTTGTTCACTTCTGCCAGACGAACACTCATCTCCCGTGCTCATTAAGAAGAGAGTTGGTGTGTAAATTGTGTGTCCCTATTTGAAGTGGCTTTGCCATTGCAGGATAAAGTGATTAATGCAGTGAGAGGAAGCGTCATAAGGAGCCGAACAAGGCCCAGTTTCCCTTTTTATGAATACATTTTGCATACACGGCATCCTGCTGACATTCCCCCTCCAGCTGTGCTATACTGTCTATCTGCTGAAGACTCATCCAATCGTCAAAGCCTGTGGGACATTGAATATGTGTGTGTTTATACTTTCTGTATATTCTCCTAGGTCACGGTGCATAATTCTGAATTGAATGTGCACAACTCACAAAGGAAAGAGGAGAACAGTGCTACGGCCCATCAAGGCCTCAACAGGGCAGCTATCATTACAGTTTAAAGCTGTGGAGAAAGCTTGAAAAACACCCTGTTTCATTGCTATTGAACAACCTGTAGCTAGTCATACGCAGGGACACCACATCATACTAAAACAGTTTGCAATGTAAACCTCATGTTGTTGCTTAACATGAAGTAAATAATCCACATTTTAAAAGAAAGTCTGCATCGAAGAATGGAGCGGTTAATTGGGCATTTAGGAGGAAGGGACGGTCTTACGAAAGATGCAACATTTCTGGAGCTTGACCAACACTGAAAGTCAAGATATTGTGGTAATACTCAATGTGGTTCAACTGTACCAGTTCTAGCCCCCGATGACCAGGATGGAAACCTACTAATGTGGGACACTGGGTAAGATATACAGACAAGAATGCACATTTAATGTAGTCACTCTTCTAACAGGTAAATCATCAACACAGTCACAGTGTATTCTTTGATGTCCAATCATACTGTGGAGTACAGAGTAAATAGACCAGACACCACGATCCCAGTGAATGTTCACAGGTTATGTCTTTGGTTCACATGGAGGGAACGGTGGAATGGTGTGTTTTTGGTGAAAGAAGAAGTGTCCTGACTGAATCTGAGTCCCATTTGCATGAACTTTAACAAGAGATGTCAGATATGCCTGCCATCTGAACATAGTTCTACATACAACATGCCAAGAAAGGCTATTCTGTACTGCTGCAAAGCCTACTATCTTCAGAAAAGCCACGTATCCTGAAAAGCAAAGCTAACATGACTATAAAAGGAAGGATGAAGCTGAAGGTGGACAATTTTCAGACAAATGGCTGACTGACTACAGCACATCTCGACTGAGTGCAAAGAAAAGCCTGTTTGTGTCATGACACCTTTCTGAGTTTAAAAAAAATGTGCCATTCCTCACAGAGGTGAGCTGGCTGAGCCAGTTCACTGAGATGAACCAGGAGGCTGAGTGTCGCTGAGCTTGAGAGGTTGTTGTGTGACATGTATGACTTTTCCTGTGTAAAAGCACATTCTTGTCCCAGACCCAGGAAAGTGAAAGTGAACAGTACTGAAATAGGTTGTGGCATACTTCCAGCCCTCCTCGGCAATAACATCAGCCCAAACTAATTAGCCTGAGACTCATATTCATTATTTTGTTTGTTTTGTTTATTACTGTAGAAAACAAACAGCCGGTAGCCCTTCATAGACTTAGCCTGTTGGACAAAGACGCTGTAATGACTTATTACAATCTAGAGTGCTGATTATAAATAGCTGCTGGTAAAAATTAATTAAAGAGAAAAAAAAAGTGTCTCAAGAGCAAACAGCTTGCCGATCGACAAATTTAAATATTTTCAGAAGGGACACCTTTCCACCCACGAATGGATAGAAAAACAATTTCTTTATAATGATAAAACAAAAACAAACAAAGGTTTTGTGTGTGCCTCAGTTTACAAGTTAATTATATGGAATGAATAGATAGAATAGAACATGTTCTCACCACAACTCGTCACATACTGACGCGGAGCCTTTGTCATCACATCACACTGTGTAGTGACACCACTACTTAGTAAGGTTTAAGAAACAGCATCAGGGTTTGGGTTCAAATGACTTGTTTCCAAAGTAAAAATGAAGCTTAAAACATGGACAGGAAACAATCAGTTGTTTGTTACGTGAAAGTTAAACTTAAACACAACACAGGTGGCCTAAGTGACACAAAAGCTGTAACACATTGTTGGATTCACACAAGTCTCTTGGTTGAAAGTCCTGCGTTTAACAGACTCGTCCACCCGCCCTGTGACAGTTTTTCGGTCTTTATGTCATCACACTCCCAGAGCATTTTCTTTGAGCGTCTAATAATGATGCTGGTGAGTTTACATTGATTATTGCTAACTGGAAGTCCGGTGAGTGCCTTGTGCGTCAGTATCATAAGTTGAGGGGCGTGACAAAGCGCCTGTATTCGACACCTCGGCAATAAGAACGGGCTGGTCAATGTCTCGTTTGGAAATGT